AAAGGTGAAGTGTTCATGTCTCACGAGCTGTTTATATAGCAACCAAAGATATTTTCAGTATCATTGTGAGTGGTTTTGTTAGTAGATTTGAAACGACTGGTGCATTGATCTTCTACGTCAGTTTGATGGATTTTTATGATTAAATGACATTTTTACCTTCTGTTTTTTGTCGTCTTTCTTTGTCCTCTTTCGTCAATTTGTGAGATTCTCAGTTATTGCATGCAGCACATAGATTATGATTTCAAAACAATCGATTTTTTTCTTTCGTCTTTTTGTCTTGCCTTTTCCTTATTCATGTGTTTTTAAAGCACGTGGAGAAAATACAAATGATCTTTCTCGATGTTGTATGCTCACCGTTCAAATTTTGATTAGTAAAATACGCTCAAATTCGAATTAGGGTTGTACAAGATCGGATATATATAGTCGTGGCGGATACGAATATTATATACCTATTTTCAGTTAATTAAACATACAAATTAATTTGATTATCCAAAAGTTTCTGTTACAACCAAAGCCTCATGGTCCAGTGGTAACTCCAAAATGGAAGAGTTCTGGGTTTGAGTCCTATTGGCCACCTAACCGTGCTTTAAATTTAGAATATTTCCGAACGCGTACTCGGATGCAAGGTCTCGTGAGATTAATTTTTGGACTTAGAAAACCTTTAGGATCTCCACAGTTATTAAAAAAAAAAGGTTTCTGTTACAAAGTTCATAATACATTATATATCTGTTGGTGCAAAATGTTTAAGAATCAATACTTTAGAAGTATAAAATAGTTTAGACATTATGTTTATCTTTAAAGATAGCAAGAGCGATATTTTTATTAGTAGGAGTACTTGAGTTTGTGATCAATTTAAAGAATGGAAACACACAAAAATATCAAGTGGATGGTGGTCTAGTGATCTTGAAAGTAAATATTCATGTTTAAAGTCACTAGTTCAACTCTATTTGGGAGGGATGATTTGTACCTTAAATATGGTATTATCAACGGCTGGTCCCTGACACCGAAAGAGATTATGGATCCAAAATCCAAAATTTTTAAGGTTTATTAAAAAAAAAGAAAATCGAGTTCGGGATGAAAAATAAGATTACTTTTGTGTAAAAGACTATTGTTGTGTACTCAGACTTTGTCACTTTTTTTTGGAAAAACGGTCATTTTAGTACTGAACTATCCGTTTTGAGCCAAAATAAATACCAACTTTCTAATGAGTCAAAAAAATTCCAAACTTTGGTTGACTCGGCCAATTTAGATATATAATTAGTCAATTTTAACAGCCGTTAAAAAACCGTTAACTACCGTTTTTTTTATCCGTTAAATTTCAAAACGGCGTCATTTTGAAATTAGAAAAACAAAACCTCATAAGGTCATTTTAATACCAAACTGTCCATTTTGAGCCAAAAAAATACCTACTTCTTAATGAGCAATAAAATACACAAACTTGTCTTGACCAGCCAAATTAGGTATAAAATTAGTTAACTTAAGACCAGAGTCAAGGTCCGGAGAAATAGAGAGACGAGATCCTCAGAAGCTTGATCGGCTTCGCACTTAGAGCAGACAACGACATCTAGGCACCAAAAAGATTCGACTAACATTGCAAGAAAGAAGAAACAAAGAACAAGCATATGAAAGAAGACTCATCGTCAAAACTCCAACTAAGTAACATCATCACTCTGTTTGAGGTTGTTAGTTTCCTTTTATTTTACCGCTAAGTACTCATTGGTCGTTAGACGTAATCCCGAGGTTTTGGCAACCTCGAACGGGTCTAACAGTTGAATTTTCTAATCTTTTTCCAAAAAAGAGGAAAAGGATAGCAGTTGCCTATGCATCTCAGTCATAAGGAGCAGGTTCACCCTTCTAGGTCTCCGTACCACAATCTACTAATGAACTAGTCTTCTATCGCTATATTTTCCATTTAGCGATACCAACTTTCCATTTTGAGCAAAAAAAATACCAACTTCTTAATGAGCCATAAAATACAATAACTTATATTGACTCAGCCAAATTAGGTATAAAATTAGTTAAATTAAGACCAGAGTCAAGGTCTAGAGAAATAGAGAGACGAGATCCTCAGAACATTGTATATGTACAACAATTTGCTACAAATGTTTAGTCTTCCAACTTAGATAATTTTTTACTATAAACACCTAATTTATATGACATTAAATACACAAATAATCAATACACTAGAATTATTTGTATATTTTACCATGTTAATTTTTAAATCTCATGCAACGCGTGGCCTTCCCTAATTAACAATATTAGAAACCATTCAAAATAAAAACATACGTCACACCATTTTTTTAAACATCCGAAAGTAACACCATGGAATTGAAAGTTCCCAATCACATAAAAATAATGAGATCAATTTAAACTTACATTAAATACCATTACAACTATTAGAAGGTATTGAACTTTCATGCGACTATATATACAGGAATGTATAACACAGTTTTAAATATTCTACCAAAAATAAACTTCTTTAATTGGTGGTCGATGAAAGTAGAGGAATAAGTTAAAATGAGAAAAAGATGTCGACCATTTTAGGTTTTGGCTAAGCTATGAAGGTCATAGCCACTTTGCCATCCCTCCAAAATAATTGAACATATAAACCATCGTACAAAATCAAAACTTGAMTATACAATTTATGTCCATAACTGGACAAAACATTGTGTATTGTCTTGGCTGTATGTCTAAAAGATATTCCACTTTAAAGAGAATTGGTTTGAACATTTCTAGAAAAAATTGCTTAGCTTAGTGCTTGGTTTGAAAAGTAGTAACTTTTGTAACAATATTT